CATCTGGAGAAGCCATCACTGATCGTCTGACACCAGTGGGCGAAACGTCTTCAATGTGTTCAATCAGTTGTGCTTTCCCTCCTTAATGTTTTTTTTTTTTTTTGGTGTGCATGTGTATAAAATAACTAAAATGTTTCCTATCCTCTGTAACACAAAGAGAACGCTTAAAAAAACAAACAAACAAAAAACAAGAATAGAGTCCACGAGTCCCGCTCAGCCGCGTCCATCTCTCATTTTAGTCAGAACGCTCCGATCTCCATGCCCCAGGGTCTGTAGGGTTTGCCCACGCTGGCGGTCTGAGCTGGGGGGCTGATGGCAGAGGCGGGCGAGATGATGGGGAAGGCGCTGAAGGCGAAGGGGAACGCCGAGAGGGAGGACAGCAGAGGGGGAGACAGTTTGGACGCTGATGAGGGAACCAGAGCCGGGTGGAGGACGGTGGAAGGTGTGGTGGAGGGGACCCGGATGGGGCCCTGATCCGAGTGAGGGGTGCCGCTGCGCCTGCCCCCCGGGGCGTGAGTCTCTGCGACCAGCGAGGAGGATGAGGACGAGGTGGAGGACGAGGAGGATGGAGACGAAGAGGACGACACAGGGTTCGGAGGGCTGCTGGTGGCGCTGCGGGGCAGGGGGGCCAAAGGAGCAGGAGCCGGTTGGTGCTGCAGGAGGAGGGGATGTGTGAGCGGGGCGGGAGGGGACCCGAAAGCAGAGCCCCAGGCCAGGTGACTCAGACCTGAGTGGGCCTCCCTCTGACTGGCATAGTTGTTCAGGTGGGACACCAGCCGGATCCTGAGGGGGTCGGTGCTGTCCAGGCCCTCGATGATGCTCAGGTAGCGGGCGGTTTCTGCCAGGCACTCCCGGAAACCCAAACCACGGTAGTCCATCGCCAGGGCGTGGGCATCGAAGTAACCTGAGGGGCCAAAGACAGGAAACAGATGAGACTTTTGGAGCAAGAAGACAAAACATGGACGTGCAGGTATAAAAAGTCACCTTTTCCTCCTGCAGCGTGGAGCATCTTCAGATGATCGACAGTCATCTGCAAAATCTCTGCTTTCTCCAGCTTGGCTGATCCCTGAAAATAATAATAATAATAATATTAAGAAGAAGAAGAACACACAATAAAAAACCCAGAACCAACAGAAAACACAGATTCCTTCAAAGCTGCGTGCCCACCTGTTTCTCATATGCGCTGGGAACCAGTCTGCGGAGCTCACTCAGGCTGTTGTTGATCCTGTCCCGGCGCCGTTTCTCAATAATCTGACCCCCCCAAAAAAATAAAACACATTTTAGACACGGGTCTATTTTCTGCCAAATATAACAAAAACTGAACCAAACCACAGCTCGACACCCCCCTCCAAAAACAAGAAAAATAAAAAAAAGAAATTTAAACTCACTCCTCTGCGTCTTTTCCTCGCCTGCACCTGAGTAGATGTTGTTGGGGACATGGAGCGCAGAGGGGAGCTCAAACTCCTGCAAAAAAAATTAAATATATATATCAGAAACTATTTCCACTTCATACAAAATGCTACAGAACAAGAAAACTTACCCATTTTCATCCGCGCTTTCCTTCTCCACCTCAATAGTTTCGTCCAGCTCACTGTCCGAGGAGCTGAAGTCGTGGTTCCGTTTCATTTCTGCTCCTTCAGGTCCCCACGTGCTCGTATCTGTGTCCAGCTTGGCCCGGAGCGCCTCGGTGTGAAGCGCGCTGCTTTCCCACGGTGTCATTTCAACGCTGCCGCGAGGGGCGGGGCCGCGCGTTGCGTCAACCAATCGGGAGGCGGTGTCAGATTTGAGTGACAGCGCAACCTCAAACGGACAAACCTGAGAGGAGAAAAATTAAGAAGAGGTCTCACTCGGCTAATGCGCCAAAATGAGACGTGTCCTCACCTGCACACAAATAACCTAAATAGATCTTTAGAAGAAAAAAACACACACACACACACACACACACACACAAAAAAAAACAAGCATAAGATAAAATAACACTAATTAAAAAGAAGACCATGCAGATGAAACGAAATTAAAATGACTGGAAAGAATAAAATAAATGAAAAAAATATGTACAACTGCAAAATGTTCAGTTGGAAACACAATATGGGTAAAAATGACCCAGCTGTGTGGTTTGTGGTTGTTTCTCTTCTCTTTAAGTCTGAATGTTTGGTTCCTCTGGTGGAGGGGGTCCGGAGCCCCCTTTTTTGTTCTATAATCAGTCCACGATGGGACCACGGCTATTTTTCACTTAAAAACAAATACAGCACAAGCATGCTAGCCATTTAGTACAATTTACTTAGAAAAAGATGTTTACTCAAACTTGAAAAACTCTCCTCGGTGTTTTACGTCTGGTTGATATCTGAAGCTGGGTTTGCTATCGTTTGTGGCGTCTGTGTCGAGAAACATCAGGACTGTTTTGTTTCTGTCAAGATAAAGGGTTTTGTTGTCATCATACATGTAGTTGGTATGTTAATAAATTCTGCTCTGTTTGTCTTAAAGAAGTAATTCAGACATTTTGAAGTGGAGTTATGGACAAACATCTTAACGGTTGTAGACAGAGTTATTTCTGTCCAGACTAAAAAGCTAACGGCTAAGCTGAATGAGGCTTTTTGACATTTTAAAACGATTCATATCTCATAGATTTCATGTGAACGCAGCAGTATAAACTTCTGTTTGTATGTTCAGAAGAACTAAAGCAATTCTTTTTAATCACAAAACTTTAAACTGTGTTTAAATAAATTTAAGTGGGTTTATTCTATAGACAAACTCATGTTGTAAGATGCTGTATTGGTCCTGATTGAATGGAAACCCCTTTCTGCCACTGATAAAAAAAAGTTCCTATAAGTCAAAGTTATGATACTGTCTCAAAAATATGACTTAACATCTTAGATTAATTAATATCTCATATTTTGAAATGCTAATCCACAAATTTTCATAAAGTATCTCACAAATATATACAAACAAGTCATTTTATGACATAATAGGTCATCAGGTCTCTCTTGTAAATGAGTCCCCGAGCCTCAATGGGATTAATCTGTATAGGTTGAATGAAAAATTATTGATGAGGCTTTATTATGTGATACAAAATCATAATTATGGGATATTAAACCATAAATAGGAGATGGTAATTCACAGACATGAATAAATAGACATAATTAAAAGAAGGTAAATCCTAATTTAGAAAATTTTAATCATTTATTTTAAATTTTATGTCATAAGTATGAGATTTTAAGCCATAACTGTAATATACTAAGGCATCAATATTAAACCTAAGTCATATTTTTTAAGATAGAATGTCCTAACTTTATTTCAAGTCCTAATTGTGATATATTGTATGTAAGACAGCATGAGTCATATTTTGTATGTAATAATGATTAAATAATGTTTTGTTTTTTTAAATAAGAATGTATATTTAAAAAAAGCTTCCATAAAAGTCTTCCTTTTACTCACATAAAGAAGTTAAATGGTTTAAATGTCTTTTTTGGTATTTTTATAAAAGTGTTGTTTTTTTTGTCAGAGTGCCAATCATCTCAAACATAGACGATCTTCGGTCAGACTTTGACAGCAGTCCAGCGGACTTTTGGTCGGAGGCTGACCCTCCATCCCTGCTCCTCCTCCTCAAACCCCCCACCCCACCCCCAGGCGGTGACGAGGAGTGGCTGGCCGGCTGTCAGCACGCGCTGGCCGTGGGAAAGTTCCCCAACCGGCGCTGATAACCAATCAGAGGCCGGCGGCCGTCTCCGGCGCTGGAATGAATGGAGCAATTGGTCGGGGCGACGGGCGGTCTGCGAGCGAGCGTGTGAACCTGTAATCCAACCCTGACTCAGCCCGGGAGGACGGGGAGCAGAGCCGCAGCCAGAGGAAGCCACCGAGTCTAATCTTACCCCCACAGAGAGACCTCGTGCACGGTGAAGGCTCCGTGGCCACTTCAAGGACCCCACGTTAGAGCAGGCGGTCCAAGTAATGCCCCCACCCCGCTCCCTGGAGTCTCCACATCATCACCGCGGCGCGGCTGGGGGCTCCTAATGTCACCCTCCCCAAGTCATTTGACAGATTTGCCGGTGTGTTTACATGGAGGGGGATCATGTTACTGCATGTGGAGCTGGGGGGCTTCAGTCCTGCAGAGTCCTCTTTAAATCACAGAGGGTTATTTCTTAAAGACTTAATTTAAATTATACAAGCAAAGATCAAACCTGTTCTTTAATCTATTCTTCACACTTGTCTGGTTCTTACTATGAAGAGAATTAAAAACAGAGATCATATTTAATATATGTTTAAAACTTCATGCAATAAGATTGTCTCCAGGCGACAAACAATACATTTAATTTTATAAAACGTAAAAAAGTAAACGTTATACTTTATTCAGACCATTAAGGCCAGCCTAACAAACTATTAAATGTGTTATAAAGTTACATCATGTTCATTAAAATAAACAAGTTTATCTATGTGTCCCTGTGATGGACTGGAGACCTGTCCAGGGTGTCCCCCGCCTCTCACAGTGACTGCTGGATATGGGCACCAGTGAAGCCCCTCGCTACGTCATGGTTCAACTTTTGCATACTTTCTCTTTTGCGGTTTTTCAACATATGTTTGGACACGACACACGATAGTCAACTTTAATATTACTCACGTGGTTGGGACTGTACGGAATAAAAAAGTTAACGGGGAACAAAAAAATACTTCGGACAGTCACCAACATTTTGTAGTTTTTTTTTCAAGAAGCCTACTATGTAATGCCAGTCAAAAGAACCACGCTACCCAGAAGCCAACAGTGCTTCCAGCCACTGTTTTCTGCCAAAATGGAGGGATTGCTTTGTAACACAAAGTCAGAAGTGACAATCTACGTATCTATTAAGCTCACAGAACTGGCAGGAAAGTCGCAAATAATTCTGAAGCTTCCTGAAGCTCAATTATCCACGTGCACGTCAACCTGGACAGGGCGGTGGGCTTCGTCGCTGCAGGGTAGGTCTACATAACCGGAACCAAGCTGTTGGTCTGCAGAGCTGGTGAGTAAAGTTTTGCAGTAGTATGCAGTACATATACGTATCTTGTTAAAAAAAAAAGTAGATTTAAGAGTTTAGAACATTGCATGACTAGCTATAGCTATGTTTACGTGCGCAAAATTCTTTGACTGGATTGAAATGTTTTCAGATTAAATAATTCAAATGTATTGTTTACATGGGCTCAATCTGTTCAGGATGAGAGTTTCCATGCAGCGGGCTTTGTTCTGAACGAAGTACTGACATGCACAGAGTGGTAAACTCTCCTTAAAAAGAAAAAACACAGAAGAAGAAGTTCTACTTCCGGGATGAACGCAAATAAACCTGAATGAACCGGCGACAGGTTTTAATGATGGTGGAGATGTTACTGCACTCCCTGACTGAGCTACAGGTAATCCAGATTATTTTGAGCTCTTTCAAAGTTTCTAGTAGAAATGTTGTGTCGCTCACCGACCAGTTTTGCTTCTCCGACATGCTAATATTATTAGCATTAGCCAGGCGGAAATGACAAAGTCGCACATGCGCAGTCAGGTCAGTTTTTCACGTTCAGAAAAAAATGATCAGATTAAGCGTTTACATGAGCTATGTTTACATGGACATAAGTAATCGGATCAAACGGCCGTTCGGAATAAAAACGCATCGTGTAAACACCCTGTTCGGGTTATTTTTTGTTTATTCAGCGTGATCCGAAATAATTTGTGATCAGAACGAAACGGGTGGTTTACGCCGATTCATAACCCGAACGGTGTCCATGTAAACGCTTAATCTGTTCGTTTTCATCTGATGGTGAAAAACTGACCTGACTGCGCATGCGCATATAAACATAGCTAGTGTGGAAAGTGTTCATAAAGTCGTAAAATAAATATAAATAATAAAATAAATATAGCGTTCCTACTTGGCGGTTTTTCACCTATGGTGGTGGTGTGTGGAACGTAATCCCCGTGATAATCGAGGGACTACTGCACATGTAAAACGAAACACAGAAACGTTTGGTTTTCAGGGATTTCGACGGGTTTCATCTGTTTTCATTGCTCCTAATCCGGTCTGCTGCTTCTGAATGAGACGGGAGCCGCACCGCGAGCGTGCAGCAAGGAAACATAAAACCGTTAGGTGTTGTTGTAACGTTCTGCAGAGCGCCAGGCGTTTTTATGATATTAATCTGGAGCAAATGAGAACTGACAGAACCATAACTTCTGTACGCACACACACACACACATACACACACACACGCTGCAATAAGGCGATTCGTATCAGTGGGCGATGAAGGCGTAATAGTCATGTCGGAGAGAGGAGGCAGCCTTGTTTGGTTCGTATGAATGAGAGGAAGCACTTAGGACTGTTTTCATCTTGTTGTTGCTCAAAGCTACATCACAGCAGCACAAACACGCAGCCTCACTCCGACGAGAATCCAGACGATTATTGGTGAATTATCTGCGAGGGGGTGAGCTGCCGTCACTCAGGTCTGTGCAACCTGAGGCCTTTGTCTTCATGAACACATAGGTGTGTGTGTGCGTGTGTGTGAGGACACAGAGGAGGAAGGGGGAGTGTGAGCCCTCTCGTTGTATTTCAAGTTCACCCAGAGTTCCCACGCTGTTATTTTCTGCCCGGCTGTCTTTGTTCCACCGGTCTCATCACATGTTGTGATTAGTTGGGCCTTTCAGGGGCCGCCCTTTGAAGGTGTACAACCCCCCCACCCCCAAC